CCTCCTCAGTCACCAACTGCCATTCTTCCTAGAATTGGAAATTCTGGGGAAAGTGGCTTGTACTCTTATAGTAGCAGGTTTCCTCTGGCAATGATGCGGCGGTGTCTACACCTGCCACTGAGAGTGAGAATCACTAGTCTTTTAAAACTACTAGGAAGGATTTTAAAAACTACCTTTTAATTTTGCATTTTAAATTAACTATATTGAATGTCTTGGGATTTCCCCTTAGATGATTATTTCTGTAACATAATACAACACTTGAAATAAACTCTTCCTGGTGTAACTAAGAACCCTTCCTGGTGTAAAAAATATCCCAGCCACATAAGTGTTTCTAAATTTATCTTAAAACTACATTCATATCCACCTCTCCCCTCGTTTGTAGACTCCAATATCAGAATTGAGTTCAGATGTGCTTCATTATGAAAGACACCATTATGAAACACACTATTAGCTAGGGAAGTACTAGTTAATACATTCTCTCTGCCCTACATTCATGCACATTGACATTAGAGAAGGCACAAATTACACAAAGTCATGGGCAGGGCTTGCCAACGGAGCACACAGAATGGCTTTCGGTTCTATGCATTTCCAGTGAGACCCTGCTGTACCTTCAGGGAAGAAACTCGCCCATTTCTCTGCAGCTGAACCCACAGCAAGGCCCTTAAACCAGCCATCAATGAGAGACTCTGGCACCAACCACCAAGTTGGAAGACATGGCTGATTTCTAATTTGTGAACAGACTGCTTATATTATTCACATTTTATCACCTGATTATGGACACAATTATATTAAATATTGGTAGGCTGACAAAATTACCTTTAAAGGAGGATTTACTCTGTACCACGACATATATAATTATTCACACTTAAAAAGCCATCACACTTAAAACACAGCATAGTCGTATCCAAAGGCTTTTACAGAACTTCATACCCAGAAGTTTGAGTATCACTTTATCATCCCAGTGTTTGCCTAGTTGCCATAAAATTATACAAGGTACCAGTGAACCTTACAGCTCTGTTATATAAATCAGACTTTGTAATTCAGATTTTATACATATGAATAACATGGAATAAAGTGCTACTTCATTTATAATAGGATATAAAAGGCATAAAGTACTAAGATTATTCTTTAAACTTGTATAAAATTCTGATCAATTATCACCGGCTTGTCTGATTTGGAGGGAGGGCAGAGGAGTGAATGACCTTAGTCATCGTTTTGTAGCTTTAGGAGACAAAGTCTATCAACTGAAACTCCCAGTATAAAAAGTATGTCCAAGCCAGGCATGGCTTTGCAAGCTTATTATTCCAGCACTGAGAGGCTGAGGTAGAAATAACTGCTATTCCAGTCCAGTCTGGGTTGGGCTACATAGAGAGATTATGTCTCCGAGATCTGTGTGTGTGTGTGTGTGTGTGTGTGTGTGTGTGTGTGTGTGTATACATGCATGTGTCTAGTATATCCCCTCACAAATGTACATGGGCCTGGATGAAAACACCCTGGGCTTTGGGTTTGGAGAATACAAACCTTGAACAGTTGGGCATCTGTGTCCTGTGCCACTTGCTCACTGCTAGTCATGCTATGGGGTAGGGTTTTCACCAGATCCTCCCTGAAAATTATCTGATTAAGGAAGGAGTTGGCAAGACTAGGGGATGAGTTTCTAGTGAAGTGGTGGTGTTTTCCTGAAGCCAGCAGGAATAAGCTGAACAATTAACATAGATCAAGAGCAGCCTGGGACGATGGACCAGTGAGGAGAGACACACTAGCTAACGGAAGATGTGAAGAGGATGGAGAAGAGACACAGGCCAATGGGAAATGGTGTGTTGACAAACTTTTTTGGTCAGTAGGACCAAGAACAGAGTGGTAGTACGGAGGGAGAGGTGGCTGCTGGTTGTTAGTGTTCTAGAGGTCATAGCCACAACATTCAAGTAAAGAAGGGACATTGCTCGAGGGTGGAGGTAGGAACTGTGGAAAACCATCCCAAACCTTTAGTTATTATTTAGGGAAGGAATGATGGTCTAAGTGAATTTTCATTCTAACAGTAAAAAGTTAGATGATCGCCAAAGTGGCAAGGTGACATCCTTAAGCAAGGTCTCTCTGTGTCGTCCTGGCTGTCCTGGAGCTCACTATGTGCTTATGCTTAATATGAAGAGAGAAAAAGATACACAGGGTTTCACAACTTAGAAAAATTTACATAAGACATAGACTTCATTTTCATGGATTTAAGCCAGAGGGTTTAAGCCAGGCAGTGGTGGTGCACGCCTTTAATTCCAGCACTCAGAGGCAGGTGGATCTCTGTGAGTTCGAGGCCAGCCTGGGCTACAGAGTGAGTTCCAGGAAAGGTGCAAAGCTACATAGAGAAATCCTGACTCAAAAAAACAAAAATAAATAAATAAATAAATAAATGAATAAATTTAATCTTTATGTAATATTTACTATCATACCGACCAAATTGACAGTTGCTTTTGAAAGGTAATAGGGTTGTAAGAGCTAGGTCATATAAAGTAACAGATTGTAAAGAATTTAATTTAGCAATAAGAAATTTAATCTCCAAAGATCATGAATCTTCCTAACAATGTACAGAACTCTTTGTAAAGCCCGGAGCCTGGTTTGGATATGACATCATGGTCCCAGTCATCCACTTTTCCTCAGAGAATAAGGCACACAATTGCTACCATTACAAGTCATCAGTTTAAAAAAAAATCTGAAGAAAACAGGAATCATATATTATGGAGTGCCCAGGGTCCAGGGGCTCAGCTAAGTCCGGTGTGAGATCTGAGGAAAAAAATCTACATACATTATATTCTTATGTCTGTTAACTTTATTCCTCTAAGACAAAATTCTATCATTTCAGCTATAGCTCCACCAGGCATTCAAGGCAGGAACAACTCTAGACATACCAAGCTCTATATCCATCTACTTTATTTCTCTGGGATGAAATCCTGTCTCCATAACTACAGTTCCGTCCAGCTCCCCAGCTCATGGTCCTGCTAACACTAACTCCTATGCTTTCAGCCTCATCTTCATCCTCTGTATCCTCTTTCTCCATATCTGCTGCTCTCTACTCCTGGCACTCAGAAAACTCGACTCCAGATCTGCTTACCCTTCTAGGGAACCTGTCATTCTCTCTTCTCTCTAGCCAAGCTGTTCTGTTTTTTCCTACAGAAAATACCTGCCCTTTCTTTCCCTGTGCACATGGTTCCCTGTCTCCTCAGGACTGTTGTTTTCTCTCTCACCTTGATATGTAAAAACCCCTTTTGTTAAAAGTCAAAGTGCTCTGGAGAACCACTAGGTCGCCTCAAGGTGAGGGGATTGTCTGAGCTCCATTAGCACAAGAAACAAAGCTAGTAGTCTCTTATAGCTTGTCTCCTAAACTCAGCATGGCAGTTAGTAACTTAGTAGGTTCTGCAGGTCAGGGGAGCTGAACTGTTTACCAATTGGTCTGGGCACACAAGGATTTCATAGCAGAAGACAGCTGTAATATTAAAGGCTGGGTAACACCAAATATTCATAATAAATGGCTTGCCTTTTGACAGACCCTTGGCTGGTCAAAGTTCAGCTTTAATATACAGCTGAATCTCTATGATATATTCTTGCAGCCCACAAGAATATACACCACAAAGAAAGAGAGAAGCCCCCAGGGCAGGATATTGACCACAGTAATATCAAACTACAGATGTAAAATTTACAGTAACGCACTTCCTTCTCTAGTAAAGGTTAATCATCTTAACAGTGGAGTCTGAAAGACCAAAAGAAAAAGCAAGATTTCCAAAAACTATTTTATTTTGAAAAATCTTTCAGTTCTCAGTATGGAGAAGATTAAAAAAAATCATTTCATACAATCTTTTAGACTAGTTTGTGACAATCCCACAGCAATTGCGATTTCAGTGGCTGTCAGAAATCTGCACATCAAATGACAACATTGCCCAGAACTGTTTTTATAGAAGTTCAGTGATGATCCAGATATCATTTTGTCAATGCTCTTTGTTAATAAATATTTTTAAACATTCAGTTGTGTTTTTCAAATTAGTGAAAATGCTAACACGAGATTCCTGGGCTAACCACACTAATCCCCCCAAACCCCCCCCCCCCATAAACTTCAGTGAATGTGATTATAGGTAACATGGGATAATAATTACTTCCTAAATTGATTTCTGAAATTGTAACTTAGATTTTAATTCTATTATTTTAGATAGATTTCTGCCAATCATCACCGTCCACAGAACATTTAAAATTATCACTTCAGTACATACATTTTTATCATGATCTTATTTATTCTGTCCACTTCACTGTTTCTGTGTCTCAGGAAAATGTGAATCCAAATATAATGTGAGCTTTCTATGTTGTATGGTATTTTGTTTGTGTTTTGACAAGAAGAGCTTGCCTGGAGGTCAGAGGGCAGAGCCAGCCACTGGTCAACCATAGAGGTCAGGCAGTGGTGGCGGCACACACCTTTAATCCCCGCACTTGGGAGGAAGAAGGAGGAAGATCAGGAGTTCAGGGCCACTCTGGGCTACACAAGATTGATCCAGTCTAAAGGAGAAACAGTGTGGCAGTGGAGGTGTGTGCCTTTGATCCCAGCAATAGGAGGCGGAGACAGGAATGTGGGGTGGGTGGAGACAGGGTCTTGGCTGCCCATTTGGTCTGAGGATTCGTAGAGGTAAGAAGTCACTGGTGGCTGCTCCTCTGCTTCTCTGATCTTG